ATCACAGCTCTATGGAGCAGTATCAGACTCATATTCTGACTAGAATTGAGTAGGACTACGTCAGGCTAGGAAATAACACCGCACTGTCCCAACTTTACTCATTTCTTCATGTTTCTGAAAAAACGATGACGTAAAGATGGCTCCTCTGCTCCTTCTCTCGCCTACAAGACGAACCAATTTGGCTGTTTTTAAATATCTTTTTCTTAAAGCTACGCTTACTGTCGCGTCCTGTCGATGGCAGCCATTCATTTCACGCCTTTTATAGTTTAACTCTGCTACGGAACAAGACAGGATAGTTTACATAGACTGAAGTCTATATTGATGCTGAAATCTGTGTCTCATAGTCAGATAAATACGTTTTCTTGCATGGGGGGAATAAATAAGGTTTCTATCTACAGAAAGATTTGGTTGGGTGTCTTGTAATCCAGATAATCTACCTTTAATTGAATTTTAATTGAATTATTAAAAGCTTCTTTGGAAGCAGTTATACATTTATAGAGTTGCAGCTGCTAATTAATGGTATTACAGTTGTATAAATCAGTATGTTTTATAGTTTATATGATATGTTATTTCTGCAGCTTTGTTGCTTTTGTGGCATAAATAAAAAGTTATTATTGTGTCATATTTTTTTTAGATTAATATATAGAAATACTGTTGCGTTTAAGGTTTAGAGATTGAGAATTTCATACCTGACCTTTTATTTAGGAGTCTGAGATTTAAACGTAATAGCCTTTGTACAGGGCAGGTCTGTTTAGCAGCCGTTTAAAAACATCAACACATCCTAACGGAGGCCTGGGTGTGAGGAGTAAACGGTGAGCGGGGAGTAAACACAGAGAAATTCACGCTGTGAAGCTAGATGACGCAGGCGCCGCCGGGTGAGATGTCGCCTTTTAAAGAGTTTGTTTATTCCTGCTTTAACACCCTTTGCGGGCTGGTTGATCACCCACAGCTGGCCCCCTGACTTGAAAAAAAAAAAAGCAGGCCGTGTTTAAGCAGCCGGCTGCTTATCAAACCTCCCGGTTTATGCAAACGACGGTGCTCAAATGCAGCTGAATGGTTCTTCGGGGTCTGGCTCTGTGAGGCCACAGCAGATTTTCTGTTCAGGTGATCCGTCATAGCACGCTCCCTATAATAATGGAGGCCCAGACAGTTCCCAGTAGAGTCCGAAACATCAGTCAGGACTCTGTCTGCTGCGCTCCGATTCACACTTGAGTCTGTGTGAAAAGGATTAGGCCATAATTGAGTTGGCAAACAGTACTTTAAAGGTTAATGGGATTCATTTGCATGAGAATCTGCTTAAAGGTTGGGCTGGCCAGTCTGCAGAAGGCTTGATCATATTTGAACTCAGAAGACAAATAAATACGCCCCTCTATTCTTTGCCACTTCAGAAGAACTCCTTTCAAAGCCGGGCCGGGTCGGGGCAGCACCTCCCTGTAAAAGGAGGTTCTGGCTGAATGTGGAGGCGTTCAGCCTTAGAAATGGTCGGGGTCGATGCCTTTCTCTCAGAGCTCAAACAAGACTAACACAAGCGCAGACGACCAGTCTGTACACAGCATTGGAGAAAAAAAGACTGAAATTAGGCATTAATCATAACTGGTTTCTATGGCAACCATCTTGCTTATGATTTATATCACGATACACTGAGCAGGCGCCGTTTTGAAAGGATTTTTTTTTTATCCTAATTTTTTTTCACATTATCTTAACAAATTGCAACATATTTTATTATCAAAGTGCAAAGTGTGTCTGCCATATACACAACTACAGATAGAAATGTTTTTTTTTTCTGAAAGCTGGAAACAAATAAAGAGCACTTTTGAAATAAAATCAATATCTTTTTTGGCTCCAATTCATCTGCTTGCAAGTTTTCCCTCGATATCTTGGGTTTCGACAGCAGAGAAGCCAGCTACCAATGGGCTCAAATCAAATTTGAAGTACCTGCCAAAAGGTTAGACCCTGCAGGAGTTAAATGACTAATTGTTCTTTCAGATTGCAGATTATGACGGCTTTTCTCTCATTCACTTCATTAAGTCTTTACATGGCAATTAGGAGGATCTGGAGAGAGAGAAAAAACAGAAACCCTGTTAACATTTTGCCACGAGTCATTAAGGAGACACATTAAATTACAAACACTTCATGATTTAGAAGGTTAACAAAGTCCTCAGCAAAGCACGGTGGTGGCTACATCATGCTTCTGTTAGAGTGAGATCAAAACCTGGATGAGATGGTGGATAAATTCATATCAGAACTTCACACATGTTTTTTTTTTAAAGTGCAGTAGTTTGGATTTGATGCTTGTTGTCGTTGCAGCAGCTCATCCTCGGTCACTCAGACAGCCAGACTGATGTAGAGGTAGAGCAGAGGCTGCAGTTTGAAGCGAAGGCCTGGCCCAGACTCTGCTGACTGCTACAAAAGGAAAGCACAGAGGGGAGGGGGGGCAAGAACCGTCAGAGAGCAAGGCAGTGACTGAAAGCTGAAACGAGACTGATGGCGATGGAGCGGGATGCTGCGCAGGAGGAGGAGGAGAGAAAGACATTATCGAGCCGCTGTGAGTCAGCAGGTTGACAGAGCTTTGGGGTGCGGCTCCAGCGCGTCACTTCCCCTGCCCGCCGTCTTTCCAGTCAGCACCGGTCGGGTCAAACCAGCCGGAGCCTGTTTGATCTGCTCAGAATCAGACGGAGCGGGTCACAGATGGGCTTCTGCCATCGGCTAATAGATTGAATTAATTGCGTTTATTTGGTGACGCCTACGCTGTGAAATCAATCAGCACAGTCTCCGTCCACGGAGAGACCAATCCTCCAATGGATTCTAAAGCAGTCAGATCGACCCTATGGCTCTGCTACTCTATGATAGAAATAATAAACATCTGTTTAAAAAAAAAAATCACATTTTAAAGTTCCTCCATCTCTGATTGTGTGCAGGACCAGGAGACAGCGTCCCGGCGGTGTACGGCCTGGATGTGACAGACGTGTCCAGGTGGGAGGAGACTGTGCTGAAGCCTGCACTGCAGATCCTGGACAGTCTCAGCAAGGTGGGGCCTGATCAGTCTGCCAGCTGCAGGGGGGGTCAGGGCCAACAACTGTCCTCCCAGTTCGGCCTAGTTGGTCTCCCTCCTTCCAATCTCTATTTCCTTTCTGCTTTAATTTGATATTTTTTGCTAATTTCTTTTTTTTTTCATGTAACTCTACTTTCTAATCCATCCTTCTTACCTGCTTAGATGTTTTATCAAAAAGGCTCTTTAAAAAGTCCAAATCAGAGTTTTAGATAAAGTCAAAAGAGTGAGAAAATCCTTTTATCAGTTTGACTCAAAATCTACAAACTGAACTTAAGGTGCAGAAGGTGAGGTGAATCAATAAATACTAGGATTACATGATTTACAGCAAACAGGTGGGAAAAAGGGCAGGAGGACGAACTTTATTAATGACGGCAAACTGGGACATGAGGCACGTAAACAAGGAAAGAAACCCACCATGAAGAAATTCATGAAAACGATGCAACTTTATTGTCGTTTCAGGGCTCCGACACACAATATTTAAAGATGATGCTTTTTTTGCTTGTATTGCTCCTTCTGTCATTTTCCAGGAACAGTATTTACAAAACTCCTTCATTGGATTTTTTTTATCAATGAGTAAAGCATTATGAGCAGAAAGAGGTTGAAAACACAGAGATGTTCTTTGTTGGTTTGAAAGAACTATTGGTGAAAGCCTGTAGGTATTTATCCAAAGCTGGAAGCTTAGAAGGTTAACAAGATAAACGTTTTTTTCTTTCTTATTATCTGTTGATGTAAAACTAATTATGTCAATTTTAGCTCCAGAGACCAAAGAAGAGAAAAGCCTGATTTTAATTCTTCCTTTTTTCCACCTTTTTTTAATAAGTGAGAGCGACCCAGAGGGAAAAGCATCAAAAACAATTCAGACTTTTATAGTGTAATAATTTAGCTTAAGTAAACAGAAGCCATTTCTGATCTAATAGTTGGCTCACTGTGAGGATATTATCAATCCAGCTCTGGGGGAAAAAATCCTGTTTCCACGAAAGATAAAGCAGCCGTTCCATATAAAACATTGATGTAAGCAGGATTTATTAATCACGAGCAAGCAGCCACATCTGCTTAGGAAAAGATCCTAGTTAGGGGAATTTTATTAATTACGGAGCAGAAGAGAGTCGAGAAAATACTTGATGTGTGACAAAGTGTAAATTGGCTGAGGAAACTTGGACATTATAGAAGACTATATTCAGCTCGTAATCACATTTTTTATCCTCTAAATATAATCTTTGTTTGAATGGAGTCAAACATTCCTTCAACTAAAGCTCCTGTCACACCTTGACAGCGTCTGCCTGACGTATGAAAAATCTGGCAAGAATTCTGCATATGTTTTATTTAAGTTATTAGCACTCTGAAACAAACTGGTACGTGTCGACATACAGCGAGTACGGCAAGATATTTTTTAGCATTCTCAAAATTTACCGACATATGCCAGTGTATGCCATATGTGGGCCATGAGTTACAGGTAGGTTATTAGATCGTTGACATACATACGTTAAGTGTAAGTTAATTATAAGTCGTGGTGTCTAGCTTATCCAAAACCTATGAGTAACTTGTGCATAACTTATGCTTAGCTTATCAAGAATTAATCTCCAACTCATATCAACGTATCGGACGTGTTCCAGACGGCCGCTGAACGTGTTTCTAAATTACAGCTACTGTAGAATGACGGAAGCGTTTTGGTATAAAAGGGGTTAGGTTAGTAATCCTTGTTTGTAACGTGGATTCTTTTTCTTTTTTCTTTTTGGCGGGCAGTAAACAGCAGCTAGATTAATACTGCGATCAAAGAAATCTTTTTATGAAGGCCGTGTTCCTCCTGGCGCATTGCTGCCCCCCTCGGGACACTGGCTTGTGACATTTCATGGGCATTACACTGCCACGCGTTACTACGGAAGAAGATTAGGGCCACTGAAAAAATAAATAAAAGTTAACTGATTTTTAAATTTTATTTCAGTTTAATATGGGGAAAAAGTCAGAATTCTGACTTTTTTCTCAGAATTCTGACTTTTTTCTCAGAATTCTGACTTTAATCTCATAATTCTGACTTTAATCTCAGAGTTTTGGATCTTAATGTAGATGGGCACCATGAAGGAAGAGATGTGGGAGCACTCAGCTTCACTGACAAAGATGTGAGTTGTTGAGAGGGCCAGTGACACTGGGATTGGGAAACTTTTTACGTGCCCGAGGGGTCCCCTCATTAATGGAGGAGCAGAAGGTCTTAAAACAAGAGAGCTAGTCTCTAAAACATGGCTATGGCTTGATGCTAACATGTTTGTTATCTGTCAGAATTCTGAGAAAAAAGTCAGAATTCTGAGATTAAAGTCAGAATTTTATTAAAATGAAATAAAATTTAAAAATCAGTTTACATTTTTTTTTTTTCAGTGGCCCTAATCCTCTTCCGTACATTACGCATAGGTTAGGCTGTCATTGGACATAAGTTCTGGAGTCGTTATGTATACTATACACCAAAGATTGAAGAACAATACATAAAGTTTAGCATATGCAAGCATTTTAGAAGATTCTGCAACGTCTGGCATTCGCTGGCTAAATTGTGAAGATGGTTCTAATTACACAGGTTCAACAGATTTATTCGTAATGTTTAAATTTTCCTTTAAATTGCTTAAAATTATTCAGCATTTTAATAATAATAGTATTAATGTTTATTCGAAAGAAAACAACTGTTTTTGTTTTACTAAAAGCTCTTCAGATACGGATAATATTCCATGTTTAGGAAGCGATCGGCTGTTTTGTCCAACCTGATGTTTTCTGGCTCAGTTTTCAAAAAGCTCCAATAACATTAGAACACTTCTCTAACTTAAATATATCTTCTTTATGTTCCTAATGGCTGCTAATTTGAATCTTGGATCTATTTTATTGCCAGAGTTCACAGGAACGGTATGCTAGCTTTTCATGCTTCTGTATGTTATATGTCTGGTATGACTCTAAAAATTTCATAAGACGTTCGGTTTCGTTTATAGTGTGCTGACATCACATTATAGGTTTATAGTAAAACCCATCTGCATATATGCTGTTGTACATAACTGTAAAAACCCTTTGTATAGTAATATCCACCTGTATATTATATTCGGTACATATCCAGCTGTAAATTTAGTTCATAACACTAGTTATCTATATATTATATTCATCTATTAGTAAGATTCTGGTTATAATGGTATTCATCTCTATACTTATTCAGTAGAAACCCATATCCTGTATTTATGGAACCATTATTTATCCTGCACTTGCTGCTATTGAACTTCTTGTTAAACCTAAACTGCATTTCGTTGCCTTGTACCTGTACCTGTGTAATGACAATAAAGTTGAATCTAATCTAATTATCACAAGCAGAAAGTGTTGTTTTCCTGCTTTCTAAAAGAAGTACCTTGATTTGAACCCTAACCTTCGATATTCAGACTTCATCAGGCATTGATGCTCAATATAATTCGGATTTCCTCTGTATGTTTCAGGGTGAGGAGCCCCCTTTGGCCCCCATTAGAGTGCAGGGCCCTAGAAACAAACGCAGCCACCACACCTGCGACCTGTGTGATAAAATAATCATCGGAGACCTGGAATGGACCGGTGAGAACGCTCAATCACATTTATGATATTTATTTAACCCCTGTGTGATGTTGGATTTCCAGGACAGTATGAACTCTGGGAAACTGCTGTTGTCCATTAAACCCACCCATGTTAGTAAATCAACATGGCCATGTGTATTTGTTCTACATATTAACCCCACCCCCACATTTCTGCCAACAGGACAGCTTTTAGCCTGCTCCAATGTTTCTTTGGTAAAGCCAAAAACTGAGAATGAAAGAACAAAAACACACTAATCAAGTCAAGAAGGAAGAGTATCAATTAGGGCTGAAATGGTTAATCGGATTAATCGTGACTAATTCATTATTTAAATACATGATTGATCACAATTAATCTGATTACTTGATTTGTTATTATTATTGAAAGCATCGATTATTGAAGACTGGAGTATCAAGACATGCCTTTAGCTGACAGAGCGAACCGCTTAGAGCTGTAATTATATTAAAATTGTAAAATATATATGTATAAACATTTTTTATTTAAGATACAAAAAAGTTTTTCATCAAGTGGTTTTAGTTTCACCTGGTTTAATTTCATAAAAAATCTTCTTTAAGGAAAATTTGGCTATCTGATTATTAATTGATTAATCGGAAAAACAATCAACAGATTAATCGATTTGCAAAATAATTATTAGTTGCAGCTTTAGTTTGAATGAAAAAGCTTCTTTAGGTTCGTCCACATTTCCTCTGTTGAGTAACCGTGGTAAAATAACGATCTGAATCAAAAGTATGTTTATATACCATGTTTACTTTGCATCATTCATGTTTATCTCAGCGTTTTGCGCCCGCAGCTCACCTGAAATCTAAAAAGCATCACTATCACGTGAGGAAGAGGAGAAAGTCTGATCCGGGGTGCGAACCGCCCGTCTCCACCCCCCCTGAAACCTCTCAGGGTTCCTCTAAAGAACCGAGGACAGAACACACAGAAGGAGCGGAGGACGCTTTGAGAGCTGCTTCTCCTTTGAGCTCCGTCAGCCGGGTGAACACGACCTCTGACCTCTAAACTTCACTGAACGTCGGCATCTTCTAGGTTTCTAGGAGACGACCTCATGGACACAAAGGAGACATTTAAAGATATTTATTTTTGCTGTTTAAATTAAAGCAAAAAAAAAAAATATATAAATTCTCTATTTTTGCACAAAATACCTTATAAATATAGCTATCATTTTTTTATGTATTTATTTTCTTGTTGCTACAATCAGTTCCCTGAAAGATTATATTTCAGACTCTCAGCCATCTTTGTTTTGACTTTAATAATACTGGAAGGAAAAATAAATATGCTTTGGCTCCAAATTATTGATCCTCGCTTATTTCCTTAGTTTTTCTTTTTTTACCTTTCAACCTTGTGTTCATCTCCTGTTCTGACATTAAAAAAAAAATCTAGTGAGATCAATCTGCTCAGAAGTCACCTAATCTGTAAACACGAGCAGCCTGAAGACAGAGGAAGACGGCGGACGGGTCAGGGAGGAAGAGTATGGCTCGACCACCATCCGCCACAGGAAACGGAAACAACCAAGATCGAACTTTCTGACCCACTGTGGAATACGGTGGTGGCTGCATTATGCTGTGGGGCTTTCCTCCCCCATCTTCTTCCTATTGTGCACTCGGCCGTCACTTAGAAAGGCTGTAAAAGGAATGATAGGCTGTAAAAAAATATATGTTTGAGTGGTGTGAATACTTTCCAAAAACTCTGGCTTTCCTGGGTTTTTCTTTGTTTTTGTTGTTGTTTTTTTCCAGATACCTGGTTGTACTGTTATCTCACTATGATGAACTCGAGCAGAAAAGCTTGACAGCTGATTTGTCTTTGAGGATCTTTTCCTCCTCCTCCTTCTTTGTGTTTCTCTTTTTTGTTTTCTTCCTGTAGAGCTGACTGTTTATCCAAACCAAGGTGTGTCTGCCTGTCGGGGAATACCTGCCGCCTGTTTTGGCGTTCCCTCTCCAGCTGCCGCTGGTTTCTTTCCAGCCAACAGTCGTCTCTCATTTCATAAAAACACTTGTTGTTTTTTCAGTTTAGTTCACATGCTCCTGCAGTTTGACCTCACCTACATCACTAAAAAATGTTTCCAGCTGTATAATAGGAGGAAGTGCGTCCCACATTCTATCTTTCCAAACTGGGTCAAGCTGACTGGGAGTTTACTGTACAGTATGGAAGCAAAGTCCAGCTACAGGTTTAATGTACTCTGAATTTTTTTTTGTTTTTTTTTAGGTCTGCCATGTGTTTGTCACCTGTTATTGTTAAAGAAGCAGCAATAAAAACTGGATTTTGATCTGAATAAAGAGAAAAGTCTCCTTTCATGCCTCATATTTTTCCTACTCACACTCGGGGCGGTATGCTCTTATCAGGAGCTCCTGCCCAGTTTGGCGCGGCACCACCAGGCACCTGCCTGCACCATTCAATGACGCCAGGGCCCTTGAACTTTGCACACAATTTTATAGAAGCGGAGATGTAGGGCAGCCTCCGCAGTCACAAGGCTAATTAGTGACTTACGCAGTGGATCATCCACAGACACACACACACTCTGAGGGAGCTCATTAGATGCTGGCCGGCTTCAGCTCCTGAATAATCTTAAAACATTCTCTGCGTGCGTTCTCCCTCCTAAGGCAGACCTCTTCAGTATTTGCTGAGTGTTCCTCTTCCAACTACTTTACTGTAGCCCTGTAACACTATGAACTAGATATTTGCATAAGCATCATATTTGTCTAAAATCAGTTGTGGTTTTGCAAGATTTCCCAATAATGATTCAGAAGTTTACACACATATTGCCTTTAATGTCTTGGCTTTTTGAGTTTCTGATTCATCAGCTGGAAAGCCTCCAATTTGGGCAATTTATCAGGATGAGAATCCCAAAAACAAGCCTTTTCTTCGCATCGGAGAACCTTTACTGCAAAGATCAGGTGTGAACCCTGAATAAAGGTCCACCTCTCGTACGGTTTAGGAAGGATTATTTTTTATTTTAGAGGTGAACAGTTTTTGTGCAAAAAGACCTCAAAGATGTCGGCTGAAGATGGTTAGAGTGAAGAGTCCTCGACCTACATGGTAGAAGAAGTCAATAGTTTACAAAGATAGAGCTCAAGCTGTAGTTTTTTTACTTTTAATGATTACATTTTACAGCAGTTGACTTTTCTTTGTTCAACTGTTTGTGGAACAGGGGGAAGTGAACATTTTCTTTAAATCAAAGGAGAGATCACCTGGAAAAGTTTGGGAACCACTGGATTAAATAATTGGTTTGTAGAGACTTGTCCTGCGGTGTGATGAAACTGAAAGTGTTTGACTGTAAGGATAATTGTTATTTTTGGAAGAGAGGTCAGGGAGCTGGACGCATGATCTAGCTGTGATGTAGAGTGATGGCAGGATGATGCTGTGGGGTATTTTCCTGCAGGAGGTGACTAGGTAAAAAGGTGAGGCTGCATCATTTTTATGCTACTTTTAGCAAACGGAGCACATTTTGGTGATCCTTTTATTTATAAAAGAAAAGCTTTGGTTTAATGTAAGAAAAAATATGTTTTGTGTAACATTTTAGGCTTTTGAAGTTGACTTCTTTTCCTTTACAGTTTAATCAATCTGTCATAATTGCTTCAGTCTGACAGCAACCTGTGATGCAGAGATAAATTCAGGTTACTCCAGATAAAAGATGGCAGCTGCTATACATTTCGGTTCATATCTGTTCATTTGATTTTAAGTCATGGATTATTTTCTTGTCACTGTGATTTTATCTTTAGTGACAATGTATTTTTTATTCAATTTAGATTAACATAATTAGTTTCTGTTTTCTGAACTAATACTTAATGTTCCCACATGAATTTGAATATTCACCAAAATATTTAAGTTATAATTTAACCTTTGGACCGATTAAGATTATAATAAACCGGTAATTAACTCTGCCTTTCGTATTTATGGAGAGGGAACACTGTACAGCTGTCATGCATGGTAATGGCAGTATTATGCTCTATTCCTTGACTTCTTCCATTGCTCAGCTCCCTGTCTAAGCAACAGCTCTATGTCTAAAAATTAAAGCGATCATTTCTACAAATAAAACACGAATCGGGGAATAAAGATAAACCAACCATTAAAAATGATCTCTGTTGCACAAAAAGCTGCATTTATCCAAATGATCGCTCTGCTCTTTGTTTATGTCTGAACTTGAATGCCAGGTTTTCACTGTAAGTGGGCGGATTAAACCGAATCACCTCTGAATTCTAACTTGGTTTCCTGGTTTTTGTTTTTAAAAGTTTACTGAAATTCTAGGTTGTGTAGTTTTCAGTGTTTCATATGAATCATTAAATGTTTAATCCCTAAAATAAGTGCATCCAAACTGCTGAATGGAGCTATAATAGATTTAAGGAAATATGCATTTCTGTCTGTTTTAATTCTAAGTATCTGAGGTGTTTCTGAATGGAAAACCACAGCTAGACTCCTGACCTCTTTTAACCCAGCAGTCTGTTTCTTTCCAAGGTGATCAGCTGCATTTCTCTGTTTGTATCTAATAGGAATTCTGATTCGTCCTTGTTTGCAGTCGACAGTCGGAAAGGATTCTTGTTGAAGAAAAACATTTGTGCAGATTCACCATTTTAACCCCTTTTTTTTAAGTATGAATCTTTATTTCCTAATGCTGCATTTCATCAAATCTTAGAGCCACATTTCTCCTGTTGTAAATTTTCATCACTTCTTACTCAGAGGGAGTTAAAGGAGGACCTTCCTCAGCTCGCCGCTTCTCTATAGTGGTGTGTCATCCAGTGACTGTGCGTCTAGGTAATATAAAGTCCACCTAATCCTAATCTCTAATCCCATTTGGCTAAACATTCTCTGCCATCTGGTCCTGGCTAGACAAAAAAAACCCTCCTCACGCATCTAATGCAAGCGGCTAATCAGGCGGAGGAACAGCTGTAGTTATAAAGAATTTTTAAAAGATAACTCAGAAAGCAAAATATTTTGTTTTCAAATGGCAAAATACTAGACACCACAGGGTCCTGTAATCTCTGTTAGGAATGTGAAGGACCTGGCTGAGAATGTGCATCTAAAAACATCAATGTAAAGGTCAAGTGTCATCCTGACAACAGAGCTAATTTAGATCTTTTTTTTTGTTTGTTTCTATCGTTGGATTTCTCTACTCCCTTATCTTAAAAGTTTGATGAGTGTGTTTTCACATGCAGGTTTCCCTTGGCCATGGTCAGTGTTTGTTTTTTTGTTTTTTTTTTGGCTTCTGTAGACAAAGAGCTTTCAGAAGTTGCGTAACGGAGAAAGAAACACAACACTACCAGGTGTGACTCAGCCACACAGAGGCTTTGTTCCTGCTGCATTGTTGTGAGCGTGTGTCCGTTAGGGTGGCTTTCCTGGTTTTACAAGGCCAGTTCATTTAGAAACACCTCAATAATCGCTCCACTTTAATGCTTCCGTGTTTGTACAGTGCATTTAAAGGGTCTTCAGAACGCTGAAACGTCTATTTATAAATACAAAATTTCTTATTTTTCTTTGGGATTTTATGTGGTCATTAAAATTCACAACAAATATCATCCCTGGTCACTTTACCATGATTTAGTTGAATCATACACACAGAGTCAGTTATATACTTTTCAAATTGATCTCAGATGTCAAATGTTTAGTTTGTTATTTAAGTTGGTTAGAGAATTATTATCTAAGGAAATCCAGTAGATAGCATCTAGTTACCAACTTGCACTATTCATTAGTGTGTAGCGATGGTGGGCGGTTGCTTGTGGCGCTGACTTTCCAGCAGTTCTTTTTAAGAAGCAAGCATATAGGAACAGTGGAGAGGAAAACTCCCTTTTATCAGAAGGAAACCTCCAGCAACCCAATGGTTATTGGTCACGACCTACTGAGGGCTAAACGTCCGCTCTAATCGCTAAATCCCTCAATCACTTGATAGAGCAGGGACTATATAGTTGACTCTAAACTGCCCTCATTTAACGTCAGTTAAGATGAATGATACTTTTAAATTCCCGTTGGTCACGTGGCCCAGGGTGTCTGCACCATCTTTGTTCTTTTCAAAAACAAATCCCACGGTGCATTTCAAGGTGAACTCTTTGGAAAGCCTTTGGGGATATATATGGATGCATTGGATGCACACTACTGTTCAAGGTGCATTGGGGGAAATTTTGAGTCCGCTAATTTTTCCTCCACTAGACCTTCATATAAAATGCTATAACCCCTATACAGTGCCCTATAGAGGAGTGACTGTCACTAGCCGATCCGTCCCGGTAGCATGATCTATACCATCAGCTCATTTGCGATTGTGTATCCAGACATCCCGTTCCCCCTCGATTTTTTTTCTTAAATTACATTTTTCCCCTCCGCAAAAATAGTGAACGTACTAAAATATAATGTGTTAAAGGTTAATAATGTATTTCCTGAGAAAATGGATGCATTTCATCAGTCGTCTGTTCTCCATCTGCACCAGAAATGGGATCCTACGCTACTTCCGGGAGCTAACTTTTTTCGGCTTTGGATTTAAATATAAATCTAGTGTTTGGGAGTTTTTTCCTTTCATGTTAACATTATTGTATAAAGTGCATAATCTAAAGAAAGAAACAACTAAAATGCAGATAAAAAGGGTTTAATCATATTTTGCTGGACTACTCTAAGCATGTCCAATGACGACGTCGCACTAGCAGTTGAACAGTGAAAATGTTAAAAGCATCAAAATTGTCTCAGAAAACATTTTTGAAATATATGTATTAGCATTCTATAGTGAGTTAAGGATAGAAATAAGTAATTTTAATACCATATTTACGTTATTTAAGGATATCCAGATGTATGTCTGGTAGCGCATGCGCAAATGAGCTGATG